TTTTTTTTTAAAGGTCCAACTAAAACAGTCGCTTCTGAGGGATTCTACAGAGCTAGTTCAATTTAAGGCAGAGAGGCCAGCTCAGGAGGTTATGACAACTGCTTTCTGGGATTCCAAAGGGATCACCAGAATAGATTTTCTTGAAGGGCACAGGAAGAAGTTTCAAGAAAATTGAAAGCTGAACTGATGAGAAAAAGGCCTGGAAAGTTGTACTGAGGAATTTTTAAAAATCCTGAATACACACCTGCTATGGCACTGGACTTTAAACCACAAGGTCAGCAGTTCAAACCTACCAGATGCACCTTGGAAACTCTATACAGGGTCACTGTGAGTCTGAATCAATTTGATGGTACTTACCAACAACACATCTGCTAATTCTTTGAGGGTAGCAAGGACTGCCCTAGGAGAATTTCGTTGGGAAACCTTACCATATCTACCCAACATCCTTAATCTTGCCCCATTCAGACTTATTTTTGTTCCCAAACTCAAAGTACACTTAAAAGCAATACAATTTGAGTCCCTCAGGGCTGCCAAAACTGCCATTTCAAGGTGGTATAAATTGAAGAGGACAGAATTCTTTGGGGAAGAGTTAAATGCTGCTGAGTTGGTTCTGACTCATAGTGACCTCATATGGGATTTCTGAAGAGTGGGTGGTGGGTTTGAACCACTAACCTTGTGGCTAGCAGTCCAGTGTTTATCATACAGCTGCACACTAGGATTCCTTGGGGGCAAGGGTGGTTGTTGGTGTTATGTCCCTCGAGTTGGTTCAGATTCATAGCAACCCTGTATAGGGTTTCCAAGGAGTGGCTGGTGGATTTGAACTGGCCTTGCAGTTCAAACTGACATTGCAGTCAAGTGCTTATCCTATAGTGGCACACTTTAAAGAGATGGAAGCATCACATTCACAAGTGTATAGAACTAAATGGAGGATATGTTTAGAAACAATAGCTTTACAGTTTTATATTTTTGTTTAATCATGGATTCTGGTTTTGTAGGAATACATTTTGACTTATTCTTTCAGAAGGTCTGTGGTTAAGATTTTGAAGTTTTTTTTTGTTTTTTTTTTTTACTTTCTAATTTTATGATTCAACTTAAGAACAAAATTGTGTTCCTATTGAACTGTGAGATGGTAAATTATTAGAGTGTGAACCATGTTAATTTTTTTCTTAAAAAATTCAAAAACAAACATTAATTACAGGTCTCATAAACTCTCAATGTCCTTGTTGAAGTCACAGGAGGTTTTTTTTTTAATTATTAAAGGCATGATAGAGGTATAATACTAACTAACACTACCTCCCCCTTGCCATTCTTAGCTCCTTAACACTATTTTACAGAAAACAGGAAGGAGGTTGGACCAGGGAGGTTAGGAGACTTACCTGAGGCCAAACAGCAAGTCAAAGACGGAACGGGACTAGAATACGCATCTCCTGACTGCTGGTTAATAGATACTGGTTCATACTGCTTGAAGTAGATCGAGTTTGTGACATTGGATGCCATTGGGAAGGAATATTGTCATGTGTGCTTTCTAACACATGAAATATGGTAGACATTATTACCCTTTCTCTATATAAATATATGCCCTGTATATAAATATATAAGGAGCTCTGGTAGCGGTGTGGATTACGAGCTAATGGAAAGGTCAGCAGTTCGAATCTACCAGCCGTTCCATGGGAGAAAGATGAGGCTTTCTGCGTATGTAATTTATAGCCTTGGAAATGCTATATAGGATCGCTATGAGTTGGAACTGACTCCACGGCACATAACTACCATATAAATAAATACATGGATTCCTGGTGTGGCACTGTAGGATAAGCACTGGACTGTAAGGTCAGTTTGAACCCCATCAGCCACTTCTTGGAAACCCTATACAGACTCGTTCTGAGTTGGAACCGACTTGATGGCACTTAACGAAACATAGCATAAATACATAACCCTGTAATAGAACATGGATTAAAATGACCCTGTGAGAAATTCTCTTGTCAAAATTCAAACTAATTAAGCGTCCCTTTCCCCAATCAATGCCTTTTCCTTCTTACATCAACGTGTCTTTTCTCTCAAGGTGGAAGATTTGAGACTAGCATTTGGCAGCGGATGTTATCGAAATGTGAATGGAGTGCACGCATCTGAGCCAGTGCTCGACAGTAGGAGGAGGAATTCTGCGGTGGATGTGACGTTTGCAGCTGAGCTGGAGCGTTCGAAACCAGAGGCAGATCCCACATTGCTGCATCAGTCCCAGAGCAGTTCGTCTTTCCATTTTATGTGTTCCGAACCTGTCTTTAACACTGACCCTGATCCTGACACCGACTTCTTTGAGGAAAAGAATCCTCTAAGCTCTTTCCAAACAAGTTGTAAGTTTGCTAACAATCACATGAGTCTGTCTTCTGGCCTCACTAGCAAAGTGAGTCCAGCAAGGCAACTAACTTACACAGATGTGCCCTATATTCCCTGTACTAGTCAGCAGGTTGATATTATGCCTCCCCAAGTCTTTTTTTATGTGGATAGGCCACCTCAGGTGCCCAGAAGGTCTCCAATCATGGCAGAGGAAAGGGAAAGGCCAGATAGTTGTAATGTGATGAAGTCAACTAAAAGAAGTCCCAGGAGTATCACCAAAAAGAACTTTCAGCAAGATTTTCAAGAACTCCAAGAAGTTGTGGCCAGCACTAGTGGTAGGAGCAACATCGATGTAGAAAAAGTCCCAACTTTAGAAGATGCGTTTGGATATAACATTCAAGAGCAAACCCCTAAACGATTTCAGAGCCAATCAGACATGAAAACCATCCGTTTTCCTTTTGGGTCCGAGTTTAGACCTTTAGGGCCTTGCCCTGCCCTGAGTCGTAAAGCTGATCTGTTTACATACATGTTTGCAGAACAAGAATTTCCAGCAGTTCTAGTGGGTCAGGGGTCAACAGAAAGGTATGTAGCTAGTGAATCCAGTGATTCTGAATCAGAGGTTCTTAACCCAGATTACTATTCTTTGTATGGTCAAGGAATAAGGTCACCCGTGGCTAAAATCCGCTTGTCTTCTGGTAGTCTACAGCTAGATGACGAAGAAGAAGAGGCGTCTTTCAACACATCAACTGCTGAAGACAGGACTTTGCTAAAACCATGCAACTACTTTTTAGCTTGAAATGCACTCTAGGAACATTTCTGTGCCAGTTCCAAATGACCACCTTAGGTTAAAAAAAAAGAAGGAAACTCTTTGAATAAACCATTGTCTTACTTACTACTCATTGGTATTAAAGGAACCTTCTAATTTTTGATACCTGGCTTCTCAACAAACCAGCTGTGGTCTTATTCCTTACAAACTGCCATTGCTAGTTCCACTCTTCCACTCCCTTTAAAAGGACCCTACAATGTACTCTGTCCCCACCAGCACTGTGGCAGAGGGAGGCATTTGTCATTTATTCACAGAGACTTTATAAATGAAGTTCAGGCTCTTCAACATTGAAGAATGATGACAAAGATGAGTTGGCATAGGGAACTGGGTTATAATAATCATTTAGTGATTCAGTAGATATTCATGGTGTTGGTAATTTTATTCTTAAAACATTATTTTAACTGAAGACTTAAGTCTACATTATCTATGTGGGTTGGCCTGTTATATGTTAAGGACTTCAGTATAGATATATAGAGCCCTGGTAGCATAGTGGATTAACATTTGGGCTACTAACCGCAAGGTCCATAGTTCGAATCTAACCAGTTGCTCCATGGGAGAAACATGAGGCTTTCTGCTCCAGTAAAGATTTAAAGCCTCGGAAACCCTATCAGGAACCGACTTGACAGCACTTAACAACAATATATATGTGTGTGTGTGTGTGTGTGTGTATACACATCTTAGTGGTTACGAATCGGGCTGTGAACCTTAAGGTCAGCAGTTCGAAACTACCAGCTCTTCGGCAGGAGAAAGAAGAGACTTTCTGCTCCCATAAAGATTTACAGCCTCGGAAAGCCTGTACAGGGTCGCTGTGAGTCAGAACCGACTCCACAGCACTTAACAACACATACTCACGGGGAGTATGACCCTCCCACAGCCTCAGGACCAAGGTAGTGGCACAAATCTTCTCAACAGAACACATATTTAGAATTAATCTAGGACTTGGCAGAATTTTGACACTCGGAAATTAATTAAATCAATTCCTAAAGCCAGTTTTATGGCTGACGAGGACATAATGATGATGTTTGACGTATAACTTGTCTATTCTTAATTACCTGTTATATGCAGTGAAAAAATAACATAAATAAGCTGGTTTGTTTAGCTACTGTATATATA